GTGCAACTCTAAGGGTGAGTTGTTGGGTGAACTATCTCTTTAAAGGCAAAGCACAAGTACACCCTTGTCAGGCAGAAAAAGAATCACCACCCTGTTATTACAGCAGGTCTCCAACCTCCCTCTGTCAGAGCAGGGACATCACTGAATAGTGTTTGACTGGAGCTGCTCAGCTCTCACTGCAAGCCTGTAATAAAACGGCTGCTGAGATATCTTCAGTTCCATCGGTACAGATCTCCATTGAGGAAAAGCTCAATAACGCTTCAACATCTCTATGTTCTAGCCCGCTCTAAACAAGCACGCACGTGTGAACTTGCACTGACGTTGGCATTAATCACAAGCAGCTTCCATTCACACTTCTTCATCATGTGGGATGAGATCGTTATCGGAGCTGCAGGTCTGGCCCGAAGCGCTACCACACTGCATATGCTCCATGTGGCGTAGTGGGATCTGAGGGCCGCCTCTCTCAGCACAGTTTAAATGTGAAAGGGCAAGCACTCCCTGTTGCTATGCTTTAACTAGACACCTCTGGCTGGGTACACAAAAGTAAATCCTCCTAACATCTTTAATGACAGTGGATTGTAAACAGTCCACAGTAGAGTAATTGGGCTTTGAAGGGAGCACCATCGATATTCCCCAGGGCTCCGTGCTGCCATCAGGAGAAGTGTGCTGGAGAAAGGTCACCTTTTTTCTGTAGTATATGCCTCTTGGTGCCCGCTGAGGTAAATGGCCATTTATTTAATTTGAGGAGCAATCAAGCAGGTATCCACTTGCTTTGTATTTACAGTGTCTTAAGATAGTGAGAGTGACAGATCTGCAAAGTGATAGTTAGGTCATTAAATCAAGAATGAAGGGCTATATTAGATACAGAGATCCAAACCAATTTTGTGAGCACTAAACAAGACCACCACAAAGAACGCTACTGCCGCTAGAGAAATAAGTACTTAAAGGGATAGTTCACCCAAAAATGAAAATTCTGACATTAATTACTCACCCTCATGTCATTCCAAACCCGTAAGACCTTCGTTCATCTTCGTAACACAGATTAAGATATATAAAATTGTTATTTTTGTTTTCTTTGCTCTCAAAAAATATTCTCGTAGCTTCACAAAACTGAAGTTGAGTCACTGATGTCACATGGACTGTTTTACCGATGTCCTTACTACTTTTCTGGACCTGGGAATATTACAGTTGCGTTGCTGTCTATGCAGGGTCTGAGAGCTCTCACATTTCAACAAAAATATCTTAATTTGTATTCCGAAGATGAGCGAAGGTCTTACGGGTTTGGAACAACATAAGGGTGAGTAATTAATGACAGAACTTTCATTTTGGGGTGAACTAACCCTTTAATAAGTGTAATTAGAAAAGTATAATTGTAGCTATTATACAAAAATTTTTTATAACATCATAAGGTATAAACTGAAAAATGATTCTGTTTTCCTTTGCACTAACTAAAAAAAGTGCTTGAGCTGTTTCAACATAGGGTTGTCAAATCGATTAATTGTGATAAATCGCATCCAAAACAAAAGTTTGTTTACATAATATTGTCACGTTGCTACTGTGTTGGAGTGCGGAGCGAGGAGACATGGAGTACATCAAAAAGGAGATTTTGATTTCATTAACCATGGAACCAGGAAAACACACGTAGCTGAGGAGGTAGACATCAACAGACACACTTTAAATACACAGGAGCAAATTAAGATAATTAATAACACAGCTGGAACTAATAGAACTAATCAGGGAACATAATGGGAACAGGAAAACCAAATAAGGGCATGGAAACACATGGGGAGCAAAACACAAAACACGGAACAGAGTCTGACAAATATATTGTGTGTACTGTATATATTTATATTTTTGTTTTCTTTGCTCTCAAAAAATATTCTCGTAGCTTCACAAAACTGAAGTTGAGTCACTGATGTCACATGGACTGTTTTACCGATGTCCTTACTACTTTTCTGGACCTGGGAATATTACAGTTGCGTTGCTGTCTATGCAGGGTCTGAGAGCTCTCACATTTCAACAAAAATATCTTAATTTGTATTCCGAAGATGAGCGAAGGTCTTACGGGTTTGGAACAACATAAGGGTGAGTAATTAATGACAGAACTTTCATTTTGGGGTGAACTAACCCTTTAATAAGTGTAATTAGAAAAGTATAATTGTAGCTATTATACAAAAATTTTTTATAATATCATAAGGTATAAACTGAAAAATGATTCTGTTTTCCTTTGCACTAACTAAAAAAAAGTGCTTGAGCTGTTTCAACATAGGGTTGTCAAATCGATTAATTGTGATAAATCGCATCCAAAACAAAAGTTTGTGTTTACATAATATTGTCACGTTGCTACTGTGTTGGAGTGCGGAGCGAGGAGACATGGAGTACATCAAAAAGGAGATTTTGATTTCATTAACCATGGAACCAGGAAAACACACGTAGCTGAGGAGGTAGACATCAACAGACACACTTTAAATACACAGGAGCAAATTAAGATAATTAATAACACAGCTGGAACTAATAGAACTAATCAGGGAACATAATGGGAACAGGAAAACCAAATAAGGGCATGGAAACACATGGGGAGCAAAACACAAAACACGGAACAGAGTCTGACAAATATATTGTGTGTACTGTATATATTTATATATATATATATAAATACACATAAATACATTTTGGATTTCATGAGAGCTACACATTCCAAAAAAGTTGGGACAGGTAGCAATAAGAGGCCGGAAAAGTTAAATGTACATATAAGGAACAGCTGGAGGACCAATTTGCAACTTATTAGGTCAATTGGCAACATGATTGGGTATAAAAAGAGCCTCTCAAAGTGGCAGTGTCTCTCTGAAGTCAAGATGGGCAGAGGATCACCAATTCCCCCAATGCTGCGGCGAACAGGAAAACCAAATAAGGGCATGGAAACACATGGGGAGCAAAACACAAAACACGGAACAGAGTCTGACAAATATATTGTGTGTACTGTATATATTTATATATATATATATAAATACACATAAATACATGTATATATTTAAGATACATTTACATGTTTGTGTGTGTATATATATATATATTCATCTTATGTGTGATTTACAAACCCAATTCCAAAAAAGTTGGGACACTGTACAAATTGGGAGTAAAAAAGGAATGGAATAATTTACAAATCTCATAAACTTATATTTTATTCACAATAGAATATAGAGAACATATCAAATGTTGAAAGTGAGAATATACAGTATACACATATTATGTAAACATACTTTAATTTTGGTTGCGATTAATCGATTTGACAGCCCTTTATATGCATGTATGTGTATATATATGAATTTATTTTAGATATGATATATATGTCATGTAGTATTTATTTTTTATTCTTGATTTCCATTTTTTTTTATTCATGTGCTGGTTTTATTTAAAATTTTAGATGGAACATCTAAGATGAATAGATGGTATATATTGAAATTTAAATTTTGCCACTGAACACCCACTATTGTGCATCTTATGACAATGTTTGCTTGCATTGCCTTATGGATTTCATAACCGTAAGTGTTCACATAGAGTACAGAGAGTACTCTTCATTATGTGTTCATTACTGCATATAATTTCTGATGCAAATACTGTTCAAATACCCTCCCTGCACCAACCCATGTGAGTATCAATATGATTCAGATATCTGTGTCTTTTCCTGGAAGAAGAACAGCTGAAATACAGAAGGGTGGAATGACTTGAATCTTCCAGGGTAAATTAAGATGAACTTCCACCTTGGTCAGACTGACCGTGTGATTTAGAAGGCAGGTGTTAGCAGGAAGCAGATCTCAGCATTGCACAAATGTATTTACGGTCGCCTGACTACAAGCGACGCAGCATGCGAGTCTCCAAAAACAGCTGATGAACAGCTACAGTACGTCACCACTGACACCTACTTCTCTATTTCAGCACAGGGAGGAAAAACACACCTCGGGCCAAGAGTTTGGTACTACCTGTCACAGCCAACTAAAAGAATGAGATAAACAGTGTATCTTCAAGAATGATCAGCGAGATGAATGTAAATGGCTTGTAGTGCACTCAGACCTCTCTGCCCTTGCAGGAGAGATAGATTACACATGAAATCACTCTTCTCCTCAAGTGTCTTCCTGGAGTAGACCAAAAATCGGCAGTGTTCAGCACAAAAACTGATACAGAAAAGCATGTTTAACTGAAGAATGAGGGGTCCTGCAGGTCTGTGTCGGGTGGGAGTGTTATATAAGCATGCTGCGTGGGAAGAGCAGGATATTTAACGACTCTCTTCACTATACTGGGAAGCATTACATGTCAAAGATGTATAGGTGACTGAATCATAACAGCCATAATTAAACCCACAGCTTGATCCTGCCGTAGACGTCAACGTCCTTTCAGAACAGTGCCTGCTCTGTCAGCTGAGTGTTTGGACCAATGAAATGGCAGCCCACACCATTCCAGAGGAGGCAAACCCTCCCCCTATATGAGCCAGCTGGTGGGATGCAGAAGGAGGAATGCTGGGCATCGATGGATGAATTAGCTTGCTAACAAAACGGGCTGACTTCTGACATTTTCTGCATGGTATGCAGCATTCAGCCCCAAGGATGCTGAGAAATAATCTTATTTCCATCTAGCCAGTGACATTATTCTCTAACATGCACTGTGAGAGACTTACAAAGGGTTGCACACAATGTATTTTTGCATTAGGATTTATATAATTGCAATTAATGTATGCTCTAATGACTTTATGAGCATTAGAGAATAATGTGTGTGATATTCTCAAAGTGGTCTCATGCAATGTACAGCAGGGCTTAGTCTAGGACAGGTCATGTGAGTTATCATGTGAATGGCGGTGTTATATAAGAACTGGGCCAGTCCCGCAGGCCCTCGCAGCATTTAGTGGATAGTAGCACAGCACTAACAGCTCTAGGCACCTCTGCTCAGAGTTAGTAAGGATAAAGCATTCAGAGATTATAGCAATAAAGGAGTAAAAGTGCCATTACCTGGACATCATACAGCGCCACAATGTTCTCATGTTGGAGTTCCTGTAAACAAAAAATAAACACTGTCTATTAATACTGTGGCATTGTAAAAAATAATATAAGAATAAAAGCAATATAAGAATAAAAGACAGATACATAATATAAAGAATTATTTAAAATATTGCAAATATAATAAACAATAACTGTAAAAAATAATATACACTACAATCAGAAGTTTGGGTTTAGAAATACTTTTTGGAAAAAGAGGTCACTAATGCTCACCAAGGTGACATTTATTTGATCAAAAATACAGTAAAACAGCTATATTATTAAGATTTAAAGTAATTTAAAATGTAATTTATTTCTGTGATGGCAAAGCTGAATTTTCAGCATCATTAATCCAGTCTTCAGTGTCACATGATCCTTAAGAAAGTATTCTATTATGCTGATTCGGTGCTCAATAAATATTTCTTAATATTATCATTGTTGAAACCAGTTGTTCTGCTTAATATTTTGTAGAAACAGTGATACATTTTCTTCAGGATAAATAAAACGTTTAAAATAAAAAACAACAACATGGATTTGAAATAGAAATCTTTTGTATCACTAAATAATAAATGTATTATTAATACAAAAAAATAAAATCAACAATGACAGCTCACCTTTAAAATTTTGATTTCTTTGCCAAGCAGAATCTGAGATTTGGAGAGATTCTTTTTGTTAATACTCTTGATGGCGACCTCCCAATCAGTCTTCTGCAAATATTATACAAAGAGAGCAATTATCATTAATTCAGTTGCACGTTACAGCGCTTAATTACATTACTATGAATCCTACAAAGCATTTACTTTTTGAGCATTAGAGATGAAATATTGACTGGTTAACCCAGTATGTGGGAGTCTTTGGTCGATACACACTAACACTTGCTTCAAAAGCCAATTATTTTTATTATGTTGCATCCATTCTGCAGAAATATTTCTTAATATTATCATTGTTGAAACCAGTTGTTCTGCTTAATATTTTGTAGAAACAGTGATACATTTTCTTCAGGATAAATAAAACGTTTAGAATAAAAAACAACATGGATTTGAAATAGAAATCTTTTGTATCACTAAATAATAAATGTATTATTAATACAAAAAATGAAAACCAAAAATGACAGCTCACCTTTAAAATTTTGATTTCTTTGCCAAGCAGAATCTGAGATTTGGAGAGATTCTTTTTGTTAATACTCTTGATGGCGACCTCCCAATCAGTCTTCTGCAAATATTATACAAAGAGAGCAATTATCATTAATTCAGTTGCACATTACAGCGCTTAATTACATTACTATGAATCCTACAAAGCATTTACTTTTTGAGCATTAGAGTTGAAATATTGACTGGTTAACCCAGTATGTGGGAGTCTTTGGTCGATACACACTAACATTTGCTTCAAAAGCCAATTATTTTTATTATGTTGCATCCATTCTGCATCTATTTCTCAACTTGTGACCTGGTACCACATAAAGCGGAGAGTATAATTGGGATTTTAGCCTTTGGGAAGGGCAATTGTGTAAGGTGGGATTCCATAGGGCCACACACTAGCTTTAAGAAACTGTGTCCCCAACGCAGAGTGGAAATCCATGAATAGAACGATGCTTTTCATGTAAATGTAGGTTAACAGGAGATGTTCCTGCGGCACACTGTGCTGTAGCCAAATGCTGGCAGCACGCAAGAACGGCTGCGTTCATCTCGCCTCGCTGAAAACCAACTCAGCCAAGCGTGGTGAAGGCAACCCAAAGAAAACGCTGCTGGCTTCAATACTGACCCCATTCAGTAGATGAGCATTCAAAGTCTCTGCTTTTAATATCACATCTAATCAAGGAATGAGAGACTGAATGCACAACATAAATGTCGTATACTGTATATGCAGCTAATATATGTCCTGTATCATTCTGCATGTCTTCCCAGCTAGAATGCATCAATCAGCGCTCATAAGCATGTGTGATTATGAACATCGTAATAAGTTTGTAGGATGAATATAACTGTCTCACTGGTAGTATTGAGTCAGCTGCTTTGGATGAGGTAGGTGATCATAAACATGTATCAGATTACTCCTGCTATATATAGTCACACGCTGATATTGTACTACATATTGTGCATACACAAGCATTTCCTCACACAAACATACAGTATATGCAACATGCAGAGATAACCAACTGTAATGATCTACAGATGCTAAATAAATCCATAGAGGTATGGGCCAATATTTGCATTTGATCTGATTAGACTAGGTTTCAACATAACCAAACAGTTTTTCAACTGTACAATTGAGTGTTCTGATGCCTGATTTTCATTCTACATTTTAGAGAGTTTGAATGCTGTTAAAGTCAGTATGAAATGGAAATAAATCTAATTTCTAAATGCATGTTATTGATTTTTTTTTTGAGAATTTATCGGTGCATACAGTATGTTACAGTTTTTTGACCTTTTCTTTTTTTAATTAAAATGTCATAACTCAATCTTGTGATGAAACAACAGGCTTCTCTATGGTGACATATGTTGGACTTCTCCGATCCCATTCAGATCAGTCTTCATTCAATCAACGATTGGTGGACTGAACCAAGACCCTGTACTAGGCCTATATGTTTTCTTTTTTTCATTTGTTTCACTCGGAATGTATTTCAGATCTGTTGCGACTTCTGTTACATTGCAACTTAAAAAAACTAAGAATATTATCAGCTCAGCTACAAACTTTCATATCAGGATATTCCCACCAGTCAGAATGAAACATCACAGATCTTTTAAATATCTCAGTAGTTTCACCTAGACACCAATGAGATTACATAGAGAAACTGGAGATGTAGATGTTTCTCACGGAAAACAACCCAGTAATCTCACGTGTCTCCTCTAGAGTTTCAGATGAGATCTCAATGATCGAGGCCTCCAATTTTGCTCAGATTTGTACCAAAGTCTCCAATTCAAATCCCAACACTTATGAGTATCTATTCCAGCTTATTAAATCAAGATACTTGTTTATGAGACGTAGTATTGATCCCAAATTGTTTCTAGTAAATTTCACTATTTTATGGTGAATATTTTATAGTGGTACTGAAAATGATTGTAATTACTATTGGACTAGTACTTTAAAAGACACTAATAGCGAACACAGATACTCGTTAGTTTTATGCAATGATGTTTAAGCGGCTTGCAATGTCCTCATAACATCCAGTCAGTGTGTTTTGTGTATTTAGGCAATGTCAAATTCGAGCACAAAAATCATAACAATATGTGGGTCCCGTCCCTCCGCCCAAACGTAGTAGACCGGTCAGTCCTATTGACGTCAGACGGCTTATTCACGGAGGCTGTTTTATGAATGAATGAATGACTCCAGCAGTATGTGACCTATTCTAGCACACGTTACATAAAAGCAACCCACGGTTTCTAATCAAGAACTGCTATGACAGAGACACCTGCAAAAGCACAATGCGCGCACTACACAAATCTATATTTCGCTATTAAAATGCATTTAATCCATGTAAATTTGAGATTTAAATGCCTCACTCTTACTGGGATGCAAATAGGATAAACTAGACGCATATAACCAGCATGGCCCAGATTTGCTCGGCCTCAGGGGCTCGAGCCAGTCATGTGCTTATTTACCTTTTTATGTCTTCCCTTGAAGACGACAGCAAAGGCTCCGTGTCCGACGAGGTCTTTTCGGCTGTATTCAAAGTCTCCCACCGTCTCCATTTTCTGGCAGGTGTCCAGTGATACACAGCAGCTTGTAATGGAGAGGTTATCGCGGACAAGTTCTTCAAACTCTCGTTAATCCAGACGACAGTCTGTCCGAGAACCCTGTCATCCCCAAATTATCAATGCGAAAGACGATTTAGTACACTTGAGAGTTTCCTAATAGCTGTCTGGCTTAAAATCACGACGAAGTCAGAATCAAAACAAAGGAATAACGTTAGCTAAATGTGAAGTTTACTAGCTAACTTAGATGCGCAGGATGCACATAACTAGTTCCGTTGTCGCTCTCTGACCCAGTTAACAAGACATTAGCTAGATAAAATAGCTATTAATTAATCTCAAACTATATAGTTTCCAAGCTACATGATGTCAGTTCAGTTTAAATGGAAAGAAAGAGGTTGCAAACGCCCTCGCTCTCTTACTGTAATAGTGCCTCGTTAACGCAATAACGGCGCTGTGGGTCATTGAGTTTCCCATCGCTAGCTGGCTAAAAATGACAGCCAGAGGAAATCCAACAATATTTACAATTACAACGCAGCAGATAAATCGTAATAAATAATATCTAGATGTGTTCCGACATCTATTTTACATATAGACAAGCAGTGCCGCTTATATAATGACAGGTCAGTTCATAAAAAACCGCGATCCAGCAGCGTTCCTATTCGTTTAATGCAATAGTCATCTGTCCTTCTGCTTCTATGGCACTCTCCTTCAAATCCATATGATAGCTGGGTAGCGTTACACCATTTCTTCCGTTCACCCCTCTGTCCTGCTTTCGATCTCGCGGGACAATGCGGGAAAACATCACTGTGTTACTTTTAAGAAACGCAGGAAAAGTCGTTAAAAGCACGACCCGTTACGTGAAGGGGAATTAACGTTTATCTTCAGTTCGTTCTGAGAAGTTGGCCGTGATCACAGCTCGCTGCATTACAATGACTGAGCTCTTACAGGAGAAGACCATCATAACGTGTTCCTCCGCGCAGCCGAGTGTGTCGCCCTCCGCCGCGAGAGATAGTCCCACTGGCATCACAAAGTCTGAGCTCGGAAAGGAAACAGGATACAAAGGAGAAGAACGTTTTTAGGATGCTGTGAAAAAGCGAACATTTTTAATTTCCCACCAGAATGCGGTTTAATAAGTAACTACGAAAGAAAGAAAGAAAGATTGATTGATTAGGCGTAATTATACCTAATATGTACAAGAAACACATGCATTTGAAATATTCATAATGTTGAACAAATACATAAAAGTGATAATCGCACAGAGTGCTAGACTCCAGTGTTAATTTATTTTAAATATAACAAAAACAATATGACAGCCGTATATATATCTCTATGATTGGTGCGCCACCTGGCGGCGGCTGTCTGTATGAACACGCAAATAAAAACAACATTGTTTACTTTTGTCATTAAAGGCCTCACTGGCATCCTCTGGTGGTGAAACAGACTGCAAAAGTCATGTTTTTTTCCTTAAGAGTTTTTGTCGTTTTCCATTTCAAATATCAAAACATTCATAGATCAAGATACATTTACTTCAGCAGGAAAAAATATCTGAAAAATTGTTTAATTGTTTTGTTTTCCCTTTGAATTAAGTTGATTTTTCTTACACCACTGACAGTTTTTTTTTTAAACATAAACTCACTTATCTTTAATAAAGGTTGACGTAATATATAAGTCATTTTGCTTCTCAAGTAAATGTATCTTGATTTAAGAATGATTTGATATTTGTACAGGAAAACAAGACATAAACATGGAGTAAGAAATAATTTTTGCAGCGGAGCATTCCCAGACGTTTTGACTGCAAGGTATCTACTGTATGAGATAATGTTATAAATACTAAGTTTGAACATGCATGGCTGCTGTTATTACTAAAAAGTCACATGCTGAGTGACTCCTGTCTCAACATGCCTTTCACATGTCTATGTGAGGCATCAAAGTAAAAGATTTATGGGGTGAGGCAACAGACATGGGTGGATCCATCTCCAGTGTCACTTTATGGTCACTTAGCATCGGAGAACAGCATGAGCATGGTTGTCAGTTTCCATTGGTTGTGATGGTCAAGAATTTCTTCTGTAATTTAATGGGAATTCTGGCCTACCTCTTAAACACAATAATCCATAAACAAGTCTCATTAACCCTGTAAATTCTACTGAATCATATTAAATACTCACATTTCCAAGTCCTCTAAATTATTAACATGATCAAAACTTTGCTGAAAAAATAGTTGTACACCATTTACTACATTTCTTCTGTTGTCTGACTGAAAATGTATACTTTTAGCTATTAAAAGGACTTTTAGAATTTATAATTTAGTAATTATAAAAATATCTGCCTTCAGGTTGTGCATGTGTCTTTGCTGTGAAATCTTTGATTTCTTATTAAGGTTCTTATTAAGTAAACATAAGAATAACTTTTTTATTGTTAGTAATATTTCAAGATTAACACTTTTTGTACTGAAGCAAAGTAGGCTTACTTGATTATCCACAAATAATTTTCATTTGAGAAAACAATCATGTTAAAAGTGAGTATTTGATACATCAGGCTTTGAGGGTCATCTCTCAATCATCATTGTATTGCATTACATTATATGTTTTGCCCCCACAATCGAAAATATATAAACAAAGGAACATGTAGAAAAGCACAACAGACATAACAATAGTAGAAAACCGTAATAGTAATAGTAATGATTACAATAGTAATAATGATGATAATAATAGCATTAATAACAAAAATCAGAGGATGGAGGATGAGGAAGGTGATAAGTAATAATAGTAATAATAATAATAAATAAAAATATTAATAATAAAAAATTAATAAATTAAATAATAATAATAATAATGAACTCAATTAATCAGAAATGAGGGGAAAGTTGGAGGATGTGGAAGATGACAAATAACAAAATAATATTAGTAATTAGTAATAGTAGCAATAATAACAATATTAACAATAAACTCATTCATCAGGAACTGTCTTTATGTAAGTCTTTATGTGTTTCTAGTGCAAATATATTGCATATCATTTGAAAGCACAAAGGTATTGGCTATGACAAATTATTAGTCCATACAATAAATACTACGCTAATAGTGTCTTATCATATGAAAAAGAATGGTACTTTGATATATACTATCAAACTAAATGATTACCATATTCATGATATTTACAAGTATATATTTATCAGATATAAGGTAAGCTGGGGTAAGATGACTGTACTTGAAACTGTAGGAATGAGATTAAATAAAAGATTAATGGAAGAAAAAACAAACCAAGTGAGCAGTCAAATTTTTATTTTCAGCCTCTGCATATTTCTTGTTCACAACCTCAAGTTTCTTTTCATTACTGGTGTCTGCAACAAACTCAAGACACAGGTTAAAAACAGAATTTCTTAAATAATATGAGCAGATCTGCTGTTTTTGCTTTATTTGGTCTACTGGACATTTACCAAGCTAGAAAAAGGACAACAAAAGAATTTTTAAAAAATGTGAATAACAATATGTGTGTGTATGTATATTCCTTCACAAACAAGATTCATTCAGACTCCAAACACAGATTTTATTCAGTAGATTCACAACTAATGACCCGCCCCTTCACAAGCCATACTTAAATGCTACCAGCTTGTGCTAAAGTCAGTCTACGGAGACAGAAAAAGCCACTTTAAAGTTTTGCACTTTAAAAGGAAGAGACTTTAGTGAATGATAGGTATAAGTCATTGCAAGAATGATTTGTTCACTTAAATGATTCATGAACCATAGAGTTCCTAATAATGATGCTAGCCTTAACAGGCACCACTACATGCGCACACGCGCGCACACACACACACACACACACACACACACAGATGAGGAATATATTCATTAAATGAACATTAAATGAAGATGCTAATGGTAATAGACAAGCATATATTGCATGTGACATATAGTTTATGCTGCTATAATTTACTTATTGCTAATGATGTCATGTTGTTTACATTTAAATAGGCTGCCACATTCTGTGTCAGTACAGCAATTTTAGTTGATTTTTAAAAAATCAACACAACTGTCCCTGAAGACTTGAAGCCTGATCGCACACACAAGCTCTTCACAACTCTACAGTTTGGTGAGTTTCATCAATTTGTCAGTTTGCGAAGTTTCTCTTGATTCCTCTTCATGGAGCAGCATCGCCCGAGAAGAACCAGGGCTCTTCCCACACACCTGAGGGCCTTCTTAGTGGAGGCCGTCTCTTCCATTCAATGGCCCTGTGAGCTTTCACAGCTGGCAGCTGTAATCAGGTTAGATCACACCTACAGCTGCATCTCTGCCAAAGCTAGAAGACCCAAAGGTTTGGAAGAGCGCTACATGAAGAACGCTGCTGTACTTCCCGACATCCAACCAGCAGCTTCAGTCTCTTCAGTGGACGTATGTCGAGCTCCTCTGCGCCAGCAGGAAGAGCCCGTCTCCATCCATGGCCACAGTATACAGGGCTACCAGGACATTTACCGCTCTGTAGCCGAGCCAATGATGAAGACATGCTGTGGTTGGCACCATCCCTACAGCCTTGAGCTGGGACTGAAGATAAAGCAGCGCCTGTGGGAGACACTCAGCTGCCCATCACTGCTGGAGACCAAGCAGCCTGAAGGATATATTCTCATCACTGAAAGCTTCTCCACAACCAGCAGAAGCTTCGCTCCACGACTAGACGTGGACATCAGTGAAGAGCCCCTGCCTGAGGAACCCTGAAGGAAGAAGCCCAGACACTGAGCCATCACAGTGTCACATGGAGCATCACACAGCGGGACTTGCAAATACTGTATATACATTTACATAGTTCTAGAGTAAGTTTCAGTTTGTAGAGTAAGTTTTATTTTGTAGAGTGTGTTTTTAGCACATTGCTGTATAGTTTTTCAGATGTTTTTGAGGATTGTGTTGCTATGCGGTTCCTAGGTTGTTCCAAGCCGTTTTTAGCACATTGCTACATGGTTTTGTCAGGATGTTTTGGTGGTTTCTTGTACGTTGATATGCGTTTGGCAAGGTTTTCTGTGCGGTTGTTAGCTTGTTGTGTTGTGGTCGCTGGACTCTTCTGTTTGGTTTTTCATGTGTCGTAACTTACGTGGTTGTTAGTTGTTAGATGTTTTGACTGGTTGATTGACATGCGGTTGTTTAAAACAGTTGGGTTAGGATAGGTTAGGGTCCCTCGCACGGTTTGCAGCTTGATGTGCTGTGAGGGCTTGTGTGCATCAGTGATGCTGAGAGCTACGCCACTGGTAAGTTAGTTCACAACTACTGGTAGGGTCTCCCATAGTGGACAGGTCTCAGCTGAGATGCCAGACGAAGACAAACCACCTGATTCTGGACAGCAGGAGATTACCTGATGTTGAAGATCACAGTCTTATAATGATGGGAGCAACGTCAGAATTATCTGAATGGAAAAAAATGATTATACTGATTATATATGTGGAAGTCATCGATGGATCGATGGATCGATGGAGGCATCTGTTCGAACATAACAAGGAAAGTAAAGGTGTTACTGGCATTAGCAAACTCAGGTAAATGATCATGTGAATACAGACAAGAAGTGAAAAGTATTCAAATACAATAATTACTCTCAACAATATAAACATCACAGTAATCTGGACTTCATAAACTGGAGATTACTAGAACTAGTGCTGTCTTTTTCAAGTCAAGTTCATTTTATTTGGGTAGCATTTTTTACAATACACATTGTTTCAAAGCAGTTTTAAGGAATATTAATGTTTATAATGCCTTAAAATCTACATTTAGCAGTCTAGAGCGGGGTAGTAGGGTTGTTTACATTTGTCAATGATATTAATGATCAATCATTTGAGATTTACTCTTAGTATAGGCCTATATCTCTTTGTATGAGGATGTATGGTTAATGTAAGATAGGCATACAGTCTACAGTAGTTGTCAGTTGAGGTGAGTAATTCATTTTGATGTGAAACGAGGATTATGAA